AAGATTAAACAGAATCAGAAGAGAGAACTAAGGGAAGCAAAAATGTGTTAGTGTTGTTAAAATCCCTGTAGATTATGAGCTAAATAAACAAATAAAATTATTAGAAAAAATATCTGGGAGAGTTCAGAGGAGTTGGTAAAGACTTAATGACCTCTGAGTATGCTCACTGATCACACAATGACACACAGACACTGTAGAACAGGAGAAAAAAAATGGATGGGTGGGATGGATCTCAAACAAAAGCATATATATACAATTCATTGCAGCTACCCAACGTTTCCTGTAAATACAGAAAACCTTTAGCTTCTTAATTGGGATGAACTGCCATTTTCATACTAACTTTTAGCCAACTAAGGAAAATCAGTTAGCAGGGGTGAGCAACCATTTTTGGATCAGAGGTCATGTTCAAGAAGTAGGTCATGTCTGGAACTTCAATGCAAGAAATATGGGGCTTGGCAAAAAAGTGGGCAGGTTCAGAGTGCATGCTACCAGCATTTCAGTTGTATTAAACTGCTTATTTCTATTATCATGCCCATCATTGCTGTTACTTAAAAATCATTACTAATTTTTAGCATTGCCAGTCACAGTTACACATATTACAGGTAAACACTGACTTACAAACTGAAGACTTGTTTTCATTATTGTCCATTATGATTCCCCGTCAATATTATTAAGATTCCAGTGATCTTTTTCCACCCTGTATACACTGGTTGGATTCACACATGGTGCTCAGCACAGTTATGGAACAAACTACAATATCTAAGTTCCCAGAACACGCTACAACTCATGCTAAACAAGTCACATTCTGTATTACAGTAATATGTGATGCAAGTCATAATTGATCCCCAGCTCTGATGCCTGATTTTTACCTGGCAAGAATCTTTCTTTCCTTCTGGATATCCAGCACAGATCATGTCATCATAGATTAGCCTGTAGTCTTTTGGCACAGCTTCAGTATCTGTGTCAATGCTGCTGGAGTCATTATGGTACATTTCATCACACTTATCAACATCTAGGATTGGCACCTCCAGCTTCTGCAGTGTCCGAGTGATGAAAGAGGCTGGTGCAAAAAAAGGGAGGCTCCAAGGTGAACATCAGGTCCTAAGCACTTACGGGTGAAGTCTTCCCCCTCATTGGTTTTAAAGGACAAAGGGGTACATGGAAGCATCTGTGAGCCTTTAGGGATCTTTTTCATCCCTTTAAATCTCTCCCAACTCCTCCAGACCATAAACCAAATGTTTTGACTCCACACCCTTTGCAATAATGTCACTGTGCCACTGACTACATTCTTGATGGCATTAAGTGGCCGATTAAAGCAAACAAACAATGGAATGGCAAAAACAATGGATATAATTAGTCCGGTTAGGAGTAAGCCATGAGCTACACGTGCCCCACAGTTCATTTATTACAGATCCCAGAGCCCTCCCAAATCATGCCACCAAAATTCAGGGGCAAATCACTACTGCAAAAAATCTTTCTTTTCTTTTACAACGATAAGTGATCATATAAATTTGTTAACCCTCCATAAGGCTTAATGCAGCTAAATGGCCCTCAAAACATTGTGGGGAGAAAAATCCTCTACCCCCAAACGTAGACCATATTCCCTATCCTTTGCAGAGGCCTGAATTACACCCTTGATGTAAGAAGATCCCACCTCTTTCTTACCATCTGGATAGAGGTTCCCCCAGCCAGTGACCCAGCACATCATCCCTGCAGGGAAAGGCTCAGGATCTGCGATACTGGATAGGCAGATAGGCAAGATGGTTCGGGAGAAATTGACGGGCTCCTCTAGCTGCACCAGAGCAATATCAGCACTCAGCCCATCTCCAGCATAATAGGGATGCACTACAATCAGGCTGACAGCAGATGAGACCATGGTGGGTGCAGGTTTGGGGAGTTCATACTCCCCCAGGTGTACTCGATACTTAGATGGAACTAGTGGCCTGTGGGAGCCAAGAAAAAATCAGTCTTCTACAATCCTTGCTCAGCTTTGAAATTCAACAGGAAATCTGGTGCTTTGAAATGAAGGTGCTTTCAGACAAGGCATTTACCATGCAATTGCTCTGCCTTGTTCATAGAACATTATGGAGGACAACTTTTATACATTTATGCCACCTTCATATAAGCAAGATAAAGTTGGTCCACTGCCAAATGGATGAATTTAACTGAACTGCCATTGCCCCCTAGTGCTATAGCTCTATCTTCAATTACTGATGCCCTTATAGAAGAGAAACAGGCTAAGATACAGTCTCTTCAGTGCAAATCTGCTACTTACCCTTCAAAGCAATGAGCAGCTGTCACCACCCACCGGGAGGAGATGAGACTTCCACCACATACATGTAGCCTGTTTTCTCGTATGCTGACCTGCCAGGGCCACTCCCCTTCCACAGATTTCTCCCCACCAACAATGCGAAGGGAATGTACTTTTGGGCGCCCACAGACTATAAAAGAACCAGAAGAGAGGTGTGAGAAGTAGACGAGAGCTGCAGGAAATTGATGAGATCATATTTTGGGTGGTGTTACTACCATTCCACTACCAGTACAACCCAAGTATTGTGTTGTATTGCCATAGTTGGGTCCACATATTAATTTTATATTATTATTATTATTGTATTGTTGTTGTTGTTATTTTGTGAAGCCGCAAGGTATTTGGATGGGTGGAAAGAACATATTGCATGTTTCCTTGGAATTCTTAATTCAGTTCAACCCTACTGCATGTTACAGGTAAAGTTTCTTTCTGACTTTTACTCCTGATGATTTCATAGGCACATCCAGATGTTTTCTTGGTAAAAATATGCAAATGGATTGCAACTGTCTTCTTGACTTTTTTCAACTTCCCAGTTCCTGACAGTCTTCCATCCAAATACCAACCTGGTCCTATTCCACTTAGCTTTTCAAAATCTATCATCATTGGTTAGGTGGACATGAAGACCTACATTAGGGAATTTGTAACAGATGTTGAGAGAATAGAATGATTAGGATAAATCAATAAAATGATTGAAAGGGTTGTGATAGTTAGACCATGGGTGAGAGGGTAAAGAGAGCTAAGGATACTGTTAGGGTGAGGGAGAAGATACACAGATATGATTAATGAGCACATATAGTAATGGAAAATATTTATTTATTTATTTATTTATTTATTTATTT